TTTGAAATCACACATGTATTTTACCCTTAAATCTGATCTTAATTTAAATACTAATTTTTCACTGGACATAGTTGATCTATATTAGATCTCATAAAAATTAGAGTTAAAAGTTGATTATCATATGCAAGTTATTCCAAATAGACTTTGAAATTTTCTAATAATATAATTACTAGTTTTTAATTTTAAATTTATCTTCTAATTGTTGAGTCAAAAAAGTTGGAGTTTCAGTTAAGAAATTTAGGTCTCTGGTAACACTGGACCGTTTTCAGGGGTTCAACAGCCTAATATAACTAGTGGGTACCAAAACATACACATATCTAAATGCTAGAGTCATTTTTGGATCACTCCAGGCCTGTCCACTATAACAAAGCTTCCAGTATCCTCCTTAAAACATAAAAATAGGGGCTGGCCAAATAGTTCAGTGAATTAAAGCACCTGCAAGCAGGCGCAGGGCCAGGAGCTCGATCCCCAGGCCTGCTGTGCTGGCCCTGCTCCTGGGACATGCTGAGATGGCAACTGAGACTGGGCGTGGTGGTGCATGCCTATAATCTCAGCTCTTGGGAGGCCGTTAACAGGCAGATCGCTAGAGTCCGATCTAGTAGTGAGACCCTGAACACTCTGTAGACCTTTCCCTAAAATACCAAAAACAAACAAACAAACAAAAAAAAAAACAAAAAAACAAAACAAACAAACAAACAAACAAAAAACCAAAACATCTCCCCCAAACAGTATAGACGTTTCTTGTTTAACACTTACTTGTTTAATGACTCTTTTGATTTAACTGAGAGGCGCTGATTGGGTTTAGGACCCACCACACCGACCTGTCTCGTTTTGTATAGTTCTGTACATCTTGTTTGTAGTGCGTCAATGTAATTTTTAAATAGAGTACACCTTGCATAGCTCTGTGGTTTTGCTGATAGTACTGTGTAGTGCTGTAATTTGTTCCTTTAGACATTACAGTACTTTTTTTTTTTTTTTTGTAGGTTCAAGTTATACTTAAATTGCAGGTTTTAACATGGTAATAGTTTGTTAAAATCAACATAGTACCAGTGTTTTGCAGTGAAACAACAGGGCACAAGAAAAACACAGTAAATCATCTCATTGATCTTTTTAATTTTGAAGAGAATGAAAAATAAAAACATTAGAAATGATACAGAATTCCAAAAACCAAAATGATAGGAAGTCAACAATAGCTGTTATATTGTGCGTTGCTGCACAGTGCTGCTTGCTCATGGGGGATTGCAGGAGAGGCGCAAGTAAAAGGAAAGTGGTCAGTGGGAGTTTCCTTCACCACTCCCATGTTCTGAGTACTGTAACATAAGTGCTGTACACAGCTCCTCAATTAGTACATTATTCACGCAGTGAGTTAGTCGCAGGAACTCAACTCAGTCCCTAAAGGAAGAATGCCTTCAATGCAATAATAAACCACCAAAAAAGCAGCATTTGAAGTCCCTGCTGTGGAGCAGAGCCGCCTGGGCTTGAACTCTAGCTCACACTGTCTGGCTGCACCATAAGCAAGCTTCCACACCTCCTGGGTCTCAGATTACCTACCTGCAAAAGGATGATAATGTTTCCTGTCTCAGGACTGTGGAGAGAACTAAACAGGGTAATGTTGGCATCCAGGGAGTTGCCAATCATGGTAAGGTATAATTGCTTAGGTACTTAAAATGTTATTTCCTATTTTTATTATCTCATTTCCCCTATATATTAAAACCTCCTTAGGACTTGAACCAAGGTCTTCAAAATTTAAGACCATTTTGCCTTTCATATTACAATTACCATCCTCATCAGCTTACTTGAACTGAGGGGTGCCTGTGAGGGATTATTTTAGAACGTTTAAAAAAATAGCAATGTCACAAAATACTAGCTCCCTCCCACCCTGCAGCTTTACGGATGCAGGAACTGAAACAACTTTTCGTCTCTATACCTGTTATAAAAGTCTTAGAGAAAAGCCTGACAAGAGTGCCAGCATTAGTGATTCAGTCTTCTAAGTCTTCACTAAATATTTGTTTTTCTACTTCCCTAAATGTATATTTAAAAAGAAAGCTAGTCTTGATTATAAATTCCTGTTAATCCTGTGCATTGCCTTGGATGGATAGAAAAATCACAAGAGCACATACCTAACATTTAATCTTCAAGTTCCCACATCATTTATTAAATAATGCACATGAAGACCAGCTGGGGCTGAGTTCTGATTATCTCAAGCAATTTTAGTGTTTCTGTATTCTAGTCATTGTGCATAATAGTCTCATATTTATAAATTATGGGAGGCTCTTTGGGTCAGTTTTCTGATTTCCCTTCCCTTCCTTTTGGTGACTTGTTAAAAAATATGTGCCTGTCCCAGGTGTCATTACATTCCACCTTGACAATCTGCTGCTTGTCAAGGCTGCACAATAGTCTTTTGTATCCATGTCCATGAGCCCTGGGAACTGCTGAGTGGATCAGGCAACTTGTGAAATATCTGATTGAACTTAGACTCTTTCATACCATCTCCATGAATCAAGCCCCGTAAATCACAGCCTTGCTCTGCCAGTGGTCTTTCAACTTTCAATATATTTTGATTTAAGAGCTGTTGGTCTGTGATCATTCATGAGATGATCTCTTGTGAGTACAGGGAAAGAACTAATAAAAAGAATCCAAGGAGAAAGTGGAGAGTTGACAAAGATAAATAAGTAACAACCCATATATAGTACTGTTATTATTTATAAAAACAGGTAAATACCATAATTGCTGCTCCACTTAATGGCTACCTCAATGATCTTGTGGGATGCCTATGCAGGGGTTCATGGTAGTGGTAGTCATACATATGTTTCCAAAACTGGTGAGAAATTTCTGTAAACAAAAATATTTCCTTGGGCCTCTCTATGGAACAGCTATCATCTGTGATTCAAGGATTAGAACATATATAGATTGCTTTCCAGTAGAGAAGGAAAAGCAGATCTGGGTTAGTTCTTTCTCTACAGAGTGATGCTAAATAATATTTTAAAATATTTT